AATTTCAAAAAGGATTAAGGGATACAATGACATACATGTTTAATCTATCAATACATCTTAAACAGTAGCTAAAATAGGGGAAAATGAGTTTTACAAAATCGTATGATGAGAACTGTTACATTACATATTAATTTATTTCATTAAAAAAAATTAATGCTATCAAGTTTGGCACACAGAAGTCCCTGGGTGATGTAAATGGTTAAATGCTTAACTAGTAGTTGAAAGGTTGGTGGTTTGAACCCACCCATGGGTGCCTCAGAAGACAGTTGTCGAGATTTGCTTCAGAAAGGTCACAGCCTTGAAAACCTGATGAAGCAATTCAACTCCCTACACATGAGATCACCCTGAGTCAGAATCAACCCAGTGGCAACTAACAAACAAGAAGTTTGGCTTACATACAAACAGACAGATACAATGAATTTGTATTAAAAAACAACAACTATAAAACAAAAACATCAGTTTTCAAAGATACGAAGCAGACACTTTTTCTTAATCCACTTGCAATGTTGCAGCCAAAGTAATCTTTTTAAGTATAACCTGCATTCCCTTCACCACTCCTAGATACTCCCCAATACCTAACTCTCCAGTAGCTTTCCACTGCTATTAGTGTTAAAAGCCAAATTCTATAATTTCATGGATGAGATCTAACATGGACTGAACTTTGCCTAACATTCCAGTTTCGTTTTGAACTACTGCACTCTAACCACACTGATGTTTCATTTCCATAAATGTGCCATGCTCTCTCCTGCCCCAGGACCACTATTTATGCTAGTCCCTCACCTGGAATGCTCTTCTCCATCTGCTTTCACTATCAATACTTCAGATTTCTGTTTACATACCACTCTCTTAAGCAAGTAGTCTTTGACTTTCCAGATCAGAACAAATATCCCTGTTTAAATCTTACTACCATAACTGAAATTTTATTTTTATTGGTATAAATTACATTACTGTAATTGTAGCTAACAGTATTATTGTAAATAAAATAAACAACAATAATGGTTATTCTACTAATAATAGAGCAGCTAATACCTATATAATTTTACTATGTGCCAGGCGCTATTTTAAGCACCTTATATATACTAATATTAAAGGTAAATGACATTTACTCCTGAAAAAAATTTTATGTGGTAATTACTACCATTTCTCACATTTTACAAATGTGGAATAGTGGCAGACAAAAGCTAATTAACTTTCCCAAGATCACACAGATACAAGATAGAAGGAAGAATTTAACCCAGTCAGTCTAGTTCCAGAGTATATGTTCTTAACCAATGCACAAATCAGAATGCACAAATCAGAATTCTCTAATCAGAATGCCTCTTATAAAGGCAGTAAGCTCTATGAAGGGTAAATCTTTGCCTGATTTGGGTTTTCTATTTCATCCACATCATTCGTTATAGTTCCTGCTTAGAGGACCTAAACAAGTATTTGCTGAATTAACACATTTCTAAGAAATCGAAGTAAAATTTCTAATTTAAACACCTCTATATGGCAGGATCATATCCGATATCTTTCACAGCCTACTACTTGTAGAAAATGGCAAAAATGGGTAAGTCTTCCTTCTCATCATTACTGAAAGGTTATCAAGTGTAGGTATATAATCTTCACAGATGATCTCTTTCTAAACCATACAGATATTTAGTTCTATCTAAAAAAGGAAATCAAAAGATTTTGCCCTTAAAAAAAAAATTTTTTTTGCCCTTAACTGTACTTAACTATGAAATATCTAAGATCCATGAAGAGCGTAAGATAACTGACAGAACAAAACTTAAACTGATAAGTTTCTCTAGTTCTGAGGTGGCCCTGGTGGTACTGTTGTTAAAGTGCTCAACTGCTAACCAAAAGGTCAGTGGTTTGAACCTGACAGCTGCTCCATGGGAGCAAGATGAAGCACTCTGCTTCCATAAATACTTACAGTTTTGGAAACCTTATGGGGCAGTTCTACTCTGTCCTAACTCAACTCACTGCCACAGAGTTGGATCCGACTCATAGTGACCCCGCCTTGGGTTTCTGAGGCGGTATCACTACGGAAGTAGACTGCACAATTTGATCACTATGAGTTGATATCAATGTGATGGCAGTGGGTTTCCCCTATTTCTTAAAGAAAATAATGTGTCACTTTGTACTTATTGTACTTCCATATGCTTTGAAGGCTAAAAAGTGATTATGTACCATTTTCTTAATATAATCCTCATGATTTCTCTTTTCTGTGATTTTTTTTTTCCTTCTGTTCTTCTTATTGATATTACCACCTTCCCTATATCTAATATCTAGTGATATTTTAAGACCTAGTTCTTCTGCAAAGTCTTTCAGATCAACCTATTCAAAAACCTGTGCAATTCAACAAAGCTTAGCATAGACTAATATACAGTGGGTAGTTTTCCTTTTCAGACATACTTTAACTTCATCAACTAAACTGTAAGATCCTTGAGGACATGGCTATTTTCCTAAGCTTCGTCCAGTTCCTCTCGGTACATGAAATATAACAAGTAGCTAATTTTTTATTTTATGATTGAAAGACTCAGAGTCCTTTGACTCTACAGTAAAAATATTATTTATGTAAATAACAGCTCTTGATAAAAATTAACTGATAAATCCTTCTGATAGCATTCATATGAAAATGAATCATAAGGAAATTGTTACTCAAAAGTAGTCTGACTTTCTAGCTTAATGAAATAAAAAGCCCAAAAATCTTTCAACTATTTAAGGGAAAAAAGCAAACTTTATATTAAGTTGATTTTGTAAACTGAGAAGCTATATGTGGTCTTGGGGAAATGAAATGATCTAAAACAAGAAAAATAAAAAATAAATAAGGAATCCAGAAGTAAATACCTGGGTTATCTAGTATTCATTTCATTTCACTAAAAAATTAACACAGATTCGGGTCTATATATATAATAGGAGGTGCTTTTAAATTTGATTTGAGGATCAATGCTTAAACATCTTAGACAGGAACTATACAATCTATGGATATAAAGAATACTACTTACTTTTGCTGTAGTAGACATTGCTCCAGCCATCTTCATCTGGGAATTCATCACTTTTGTTTGTGTGGACATAGATGTGACTTTTGAACTCACAGCAAAAGTTCTTGTTTTCTGTTTCCTCAGATGAACAAGTTGTTTGGCTAAAACCCGGCAAGCTTCTTTGTTACCAATCTTGGCCATTTTCTTAATTTCTAATTCCTAAGACAAAAAACAAAGAGAAGGGAATAAAATAATTTCTATAAGGTGATACACAGTGATATATTTCCAAAGAATAGATCTAGCCTGTACTCATGGGGTCATCAAGAGTTGGAATGTACTTGAGGACAATTGATTGGTGGGCTGGGTGGTTATATGAAATACTCACTTTTCTCTTACCATAAAAAAGGGGAAGGGATTTTCATAAGGTCATGGAGGCCAAAAGTAGGTTGAGGAGGGCACTTTATTACACGTTTGCATAGGAGGAAGAAAAAAAAATCTACAACCTTTCTCCACAAATACAAAGTAATTCTATGACCCTCTTTATGCAGAGAGCCCAGAAGGGAAAAAAAAAAAAAAAAGCTTCACTATAAAAGCAGGAAAGAAAAGAGGAAAGAGCAAAGAGCAAAGAAATTAACAAAGGTTGGAACAAATAGCAAAGAAATAGCAAGATGGTAAATTTAAAGTCAATCATATAGATGACTACATTAAATAAACTGTTCCTTCTGAAAGTACTTCAGTTGAAAACTAGACTGTCAGAGTAGGTAAGAAAGTAGACTCAACTATATGCTATCTCAAAAAAACTTTTTCTTCTTTTGAAAAAAAGCACAGGTTACAAGTAAAGTCAGCAAAAGCATATATTATAAAAATATTTATCAAAAACACCTGAAGTGGCTATACCAGAGAGATCTGAGAACAAGGAATATTATCAGAAAGAAAAAGGGGCATTTCATAATGATAGGGGAAACAATTCACACAGATGTCAAAACAATTCTAAATGTTTAAGAAACCATTAATATTGTTTCAAAATATATAAAGCAAAAACTGATAGAACTAAAAGGAGAAACAGACAAATCTGCAATTATCATGAAAGATCTCAACAACTCTTAAGTGTACTAAAAAAATCCATACAGATACTTAAAAAACACTACTAACCAACTTGAACCAAGTGATCCTTATAGAATACATGCATATTCTTTCTAAGTGTACATACTAATCACCAAAATTTCTGTATTTCTTTGGATATAGTGAAAATAAACTAGAAATCAATAAGGGAAATATAGGTGAAAAAACACCAAATAAAGAGAAATCAAACAATGTAGTTCTAAATAAAACATGGTTTAAAGAAAAATACCACAGAAGAAATTAGGTAACAGTTTGAACTTAATAAAATAAAAATGCAGAATATAAAAACTGTGGGCTTCAATGAAAACAATCCTTAAAGAGCAATTTAAAGCATTTATAGCCAATAGTAGGGAAAAAAAAATATCTCATATCAATGATAAAAGCTCCAACATAGAGAAAGTACAAAACAAGGATCAAAAAGAAAATATAAACAAGAGAAGAAATCTATAAACCAGGAAAGAAAAACAAATACAGAAAATCAATGAAACCAAAACCAAAAGCTGGTTTTGAAAAGAGAGCAATCGAATTGATAAACCACTACACAGACTGATTAAGAGGGAAAATGAGAGAAAAAGAAAAAGAGGGAGATAAGAATGCAAAAGCAGACTCCCTTCCTTTCCTACACATGTAACAGGGTATTAAGGGAGTATGAAAAATAGTAATATGCTAATAAATGTTAATACTTAGTAAAAAATGGAAAAATTACTTGACAAATACAAATTATATATATGAATGAAAAAAATATATATATTTCATTGTCACATACTGATTTTTAAAATATCAAGTATGCCATGAACAAGTTAACATAATTGCTTTCTTATAACCCTCTCTGGTTTTTCCATGACTATTTTATCTTTTTTATTATCTGAACAAAAGGTGGTTCCATGTTTTCAGTAACTATATTTTATCCTATGCATTTATGACTCATACATACGGAACAATAATTTGACTCTATAATCAGCAGAATTTACAGAATTTTCATAAAAGTCAGCAAACTGACAAAATAAACAAAGGTAAGCAGAAAAATGTAGGAAGGCATTAAATGCCATTTCTTAGTCAAGTAAATCACTTACCACCTGCCATGTGCCTTTTTCATAGTTAGCTAATTATGCCAACACTAATTTCCAAATTTGTCTGAAAAGTTAAACTGAAATTTAATGTTCTACTTACCAGCTGTTTCTCTTGTTTCTCTAAAGCTGCTCGATCTCTGATTATAGCTCTCTGTGTACCTCGTAATTCTCGATTCTGTTCCTTTATTACATCTAAGAGAATCACAAAAGAAACCTAAATTTATGGGTTTTAAAGTTTTCAATACCATTTAATATACTGAACTCAAATAACTTAATACTAAAGAAAAACTTTA